TTAGCAAATTTGTATAACATATCTTTGTTTAATTATCATCGAACTTTGTGTATCAAACATACCCAAAAGACTAAAAGCATAAACCTTCGTTAGCCCACCTGATATCTTTTAAGAGGATGAAATTTCATGCTCTCCTTTTGCTACATGGGCACATTATCTTATGCTTTTGGTCAAAAGATTCTTCTACGTTTGGTAAAAAATGGTATGCTCATTGACCATTATGAATATAAGCCAACTTTTCTGTTTATAAAGAATGTAAGTTCACACTGATAAAGTAAAAAATCCCATGTTCCAATGCATGTAAATATTTAGATGATAGATTCATATTTTTACTTAAAATATAAATGAAGTTTGAATTATATGCATTAACATGACATCACTATATCAAAAAATTTCAAGATTTGGGGGCGAAAATTCTTGAAAACCCCACATTGGGCTACAAAATCTCTCACTTCAAAAGATCAGTCTAATTCTACCATATCTTTAAGTTTGAATTAATTTATCTCATCGTATCTTGCGTCAATACTGTATTTTGAGCTACATCACGCCAAACAGGATTAAAGGAAAAAGAAGTTAAACTATTATCTTCTCTACTGTGCAGGATTTGCCTGAATATCAACGAGGTGATGCAGTGAGTTCAATGGTTTACGAAGCAAACGCTAGAGTTCGAGATCCAGTGTATGGCTGCGTGGGAGCAATATCATCTCTGCAACAACAAATCGACAACCTACAAGCTCAGTTGGCACTAGCACAGGCTGAAGTGGTACACATGCGAATGCGCCAGTATTCATCAATTCCCGGTACTGCCACTAATTCACCAGAAAATGCCTTGCCGTCGTCCAGTCATGCACACTCTCAGTCGACCAAGTCCCTTTTTAACATGGACATGGTGGTAGATCATACCGATATGGAAGAGTCCTTGTGGTCATGCTAGTTTAGCATGCTTGCCTAGTCTTTTTTAATACTGCTATTATGCCCTTTCTTTGTTGTCTGGTTCTTTTTCTCCTGCTTTTTACATACGTCTTCATACCACATATACCCCCCCCCCCCACCTGACCCAGATATGATGATGATTGATGACCATCATTAACCATATTGTAAATATAATTATGAGTTATAATTACTAAAGTTATGTAATATGAAGAAGTGGACTATTTTGCTTAGTTTGCTTCCCAACTTTCTTGATATTTGACCTTGCTACCACTTAAAAAAAAAATGTCTAACAGTAATAGTCGGCCCAAAATGCCTCTATATATTCTCTTACGGTGCTCCATTATTTTCACCTGAAAATTCAGACAGATGGCATTATTTTGTTGTGCTTCAAACACCACTAGTTCATGTAGCTTTCACAAATCGATGTCAACTTGTATAGTCGAGGAGGATTGAATCAAGTTCTAACTTCCAACTTGATGGTAGCTGAACCAGCGTTTTCTCATGCCCCACTGCCTGCCTTTTCTTGAAAGCTATACACGTAGTCTTTTTCGAAATCGTTTTCAGACTTTCAATTCAAATAATGAGGAAATATTTATGTGATTAGTGATATTGATAAGGTGATTGACGTGGTAAAATAACACGTATATGATGCAGCCACGTGATTTATAACCGACAAATAAAATTCATCAAATCTAAGCCTATATTAAGAGCCTTAGCTCTTAACAGTGTGCTAGGACCAAGCTAGTTTAGATAATTAAATACTCAATGTGTCCCACAAATATAGACTTCCTTTCATTTTCGTACAAATTAAAAAAACTTAATTAATATATGTTAAAATTGTAAATTTTACTTACATTTCTCTTGTTATACCCTTACATTGAATAGTGATAGTTCATATTTGTTAATAGCATAACATATTAAATAAGGTTATATCAGAAAATTAAGACATTAATTATACTCTAGTCTGTAATTTGGGACAAACAAAAAAGAAAGTAAGTCTATCTTCATGGGACGGATGGAGTAAAATGTAAGACGGTAATTATACTCTCAACAAATAGAGACAATGAAGTTTTCTTGTATTTCACTATAATATGTACCACTATATTTACAAAGAGATGGAGAGAGAGTTACAAAGAGATGGAGATAAATTTTTATAACCTATCTTTGCTATATAGTTATGAAGATAAACATAACCAAGATTAAGATAAAACAAAGGTCTACAAAGGTGGATGTCATTTGTCATCCTTTAAATTGAGCTATAGATAACCTTTACGTGCCCACGGAAGACACTGATTCCATTGTACTTGAAGTGGCAACAATATGTTGTTTCTTAGAACACCAAGATACCAAATTATATACAAGAAATGATAATAGCTAGCAGTAGATCTTCTATCATCAGACATGATGCCCAGTTAGAATCTACAAATGCAGTTATATCTAGGCTATCACCTTTCTAAATAACAAGGTCACGATTCAGTGTACCTTCAAGTGTCTGAACACCCTCTTAAGTGCCTTCTAGTGAGCATCTATAGGTATTTGAAGGAATTGGCTCATTTTATTTACAGAATAATTGATATCAAGTCTTGTATGAGCCAAATATTTAAGACCACCAACTGCATTTCTGTACACAGTTGGATCTTTCATATTTTTCCTTCAGTTTACAGATCAACTTGCCCACTGCCATACGTGTTAAGCTTGGTTTCGAATTCTCATAGCCAGATTTCTTAAGAAAGTCAATCGCATACTTTGTTTGAGTTAAGTACAATCATGTTGTATCTCTATACACCTCTATACCCAAGAATTGACTAAGGCTTCCCATATTTTTAAGAGCAAAACAAGCATTCAACTTGCCAATAAACTCCTGCAGTTGTCGACCATTGTTTTTGTTATTACAATATCTCCACATAAACTAGTGCAAACAATGCATCTCTTTCATCTTCTACGAAGAATAGTGAGTTATCTGCCTTGACTGCTTGAAATTCCATTTCAATAGGGTATTCTTCGGCTTTTCATGCCAAGCTCTTGGAGCCGACCTCAATACATCCAAAGCCTTTTTCCAATTTATACACAAAAATGGGAATTTTCTAATCTATAAAATCTTGTGGCTGATTCATGTACACTATTTTCTTCTACTTGCCATTTAATAAAGCATTGTTTAGATCAACCTGTCTGATCTGCAAGTCTCGGATACAATGAGGGTTAAGATGATTTTTAGGGTTGATGCTTTACTAACCTTGCTTTATACCTCTACACTTTGCCTTCTGAATCATACTTTAGTCTATATACCCTTTTATTGCCAATTATCTTCCTTCCAGATTTTGGAGGTACCAGTGTCCATGTTCTATTTTTCATCAAGGCATTATACTCTTCTTGCATAGCCTTTTTTCCATTGTTACTCAGCAATTCATCATCAGCATTCTGTAGTTCAGTGTCTACTAGTTTGTCTAGTAACTGATTTGTGTAAACTTTTGGTTTGAAGACTCATGTTTTGCTTCTAATCACCATATGATGTTCAACATTTCGTGTGGCACTTTGACCATTGGTGTTTGCAGAATTGCCAATATCTATGCCATCACATCTACCTCGTTGAATACCAATCACCTCATGGTCAACTGGTACTTCTTGATTCATCTCAGCACTACTAGTTTCTTCATTCATCTCATTTTCAACTTCTAGTTCTAATTCTCTGTTGAAAGAACCTGCAGTAGGTGACGCACTAGAATGCGATATATCAACTGTACTTTGGGGCATTGATAGTACATTTTTACACACTTACTGTAAATCCAAACATGGATTATTGTTAACAAATATGTGGAATATAGCTTAATTCAATCTAATTTGTGTTTTGCAAGAGAATAATGATGAATATAGCAGAAAATAAGAAAAACAAACGAAAAAGGGTTAATATGAAGCAACGTCCAAAGTTTGAGGACCAAATTACAAATTCAATAGTTGATTTGGACCACAAGATGATACTTTGAGAATTGACAGGAGACAATTGGATGAAATTAGAACTCAAAAAGGAATGGAATATGATCAAAATATTCTCACAATCAATGTCCAATCGCACAAGTTATATTCCAAATTTTTAGCTGAATATTGATATCCATTTTTGGCACTATAAACGTCCTAATTGGAAAACATCTATTCTAAAAATATTTTAGCCCTTTGATCCAGCTTTCCAATGCACTTGAATCGGACCAATCGAATATCGGGGAGAGAAATTCATAGCCAAAATACTAACTACTGTGCAGAGACAAAAAATATGCGCGTGAATGAAACATTACTTATTCGATTGGAACTCTTTTGGAAATCAAATTGGACGTGATTTTCAACCAATTTTCGACTCCTACAAATAATACATGAAGAATGGGAGGAAAAGAGTTTTGAGAGAAGAAAAGAGGTAAGAACGCGAAGATCAACTCCAAGAACACGAAGATCCAATTCAAGAATCGAATTGGTGATGTCGTTCTTTATTTATTTTTCTGATTTTCTTCTTTCCACCATGCTAGACTAGATTAATTATGTACTAGGTAAATGATGAACCACGCATTGTGATCTTTTAAACTCTATTTTGCAATTTGATATTTAAACACGTTTGATGGATGTTGAATGATTTATATACACTTTCTTATCTCTACAATTATACTGCACAATCATTGTGTGAGTTTAGATGGTTTATTTTATGCATTTGAAAGAAGGAAAATAAACTCAACAAGGTATAAATCATCGTAGGGTTCATAGGGATAGAAATATACCGCTATACTTTATGTAAATCTCTAAATGTTTACAAAATGTCATACATTCTTGTATATTACATTTGTCATAAAAATATAATCAAATAGTATTCTAGAATAGGTTCAATTCTACTCGAAAGAGATTATTGGATAAATTAAAAACATTGATTCTTCAATCAATTCATCATGTTATCAAATTGTGAAATATGAGTTAAAAGGGAACTTTGTTTGGTGATTCGGGATCCTAGTGAGCTTTTTCATATATTAATTCCATTCAAATCTTTTGCATTGAAACGTTATTTTTGCATTTAAGTCATAATTTTAGTTTAATTTGCATGTTAGTTTTAGTTTAATTATAGAAACCGAAAAACTCATCTCAAATTTGATAAATTCGGTTAAGATCGCTATAATAAAAATCAAGTTAAATCAATCCTCGTAGAAATGATACTCGAAATTCTATGATTTTCACTTTATTACTTGTCAATGAACAGTGCACTTGCGGTGATTTAAATTCGAAACATATTTTCGTGAACAAGTTTTTAACGCCGTTGCTGGGGATTGAATTTTAGTTTGATTTTTATTATTCAGACACTAATTCGAACTTACTTTTAATTTTAGTTTATATTTTATTTTCTATTAAGTTTATTCGCTTAGACTGAGCTAAGTGCCACTATTTTTTCTTCTTCGGTTCTTGCATGCGAAGATCAATTGGCGGTGAATTACTTCCAACTGATTTGGAGATTGAACGGACTCTTCATCGAAACATCGGATAGAAAGAGCGGCACAATAGAAAGATCAAGAACAACTACCAATAACTGATCAACTTTTGAAACCGAGAGTAAACCCTACAGCTCCAGCTAAATGCGAAGGCATAATATAATGGTAATGCTCTTCTTGGGGATTTCTTGTCACCATTCATCACTCAAAGTCAATCTAGCATTGTCTACCCCGTATTCGAACAGCCAAACTTTCAGCTGAAGACGAATGTCATCCAACTGTTCCAAAATGGACATCAATTCTACTGGATAGCCAACGGGAGTCCACATATGTATGTATCCCACTTCTTGGATATGTGTCAACATTTCAGATACCAAGAGATATCAGAAAATGCGATCAGGCTGAGGTTATTTCCGTACACTCTACGTGATAAAGCACTTGAGTGGTTAGATTCATTTCCTGTGGCAAGTATCACCACTTCGAAAGATCTAGCTCACAAATTCTGCATGAAGTTCTTCTCACCAGCCAGGTTGCGAGATTGAAGCAC